AGATCAAGATGCACGGTATGCCGCTTTAGAGCGGATATTTCGATCCTCGGACACGTTACCACCCTAGCCCGACTGTCCGACCACCCAGAATCGTCACCGTCGAGGAGAACTCATCAATCACCACCATCCAGACGTTGCCTCACATCACACCCACGTGCTCAGTCTGCAATCCACCAATTGTGCAAATACCACTGCATCCACTCCGCTTGTCCATGCTGCGTGACCACAGCGGGGTGAACTGGCGCCCAACCCCCTACGACGTCCACAATGCTTCCCCAATTTCCCCTCGCACCCACTACCACCTAGGATCGCCACTACCACAACTATCCCCGTGCCCTCGCCGTTCCCCTCGCTGCTGCATTCAATCTTTCTTCCCAAACCCAACCACGCCCACTCATCACGCAACTCCCTGGGACGTCACAAACCTCTCCAAACCAGTTTCTGCACCCATCATCCCCAACACACATACTCAACGTGCGCCCACATTCCCAACGCATACCTGCAACTCCCCATTCGAAGTCCCCCGCAGACAGTGTCCCCGGATGAGCTTTCAGATACTTGTCCAGCTGCCTTTTGGTCTTGATTTCCTCGCCGTCAGGGGCCACAAACGTCACGTCCTTCCTCTTTGGAGTGCCCCCTTTCTTTCCGGACCCCTGACGCCCACCCGCATCATCAACAACACCACGTCAGACCCTCCACAATTGACCAACGCTAACCAAACACCCACCCCGCGGGCCCTTCATCCACGTCCGATTCCAACCCCTCGTCAACGCCTTCCGTCGACGCCTTCCGCCAGTGCATTCGGCACCCAAGCACGCCCTTCATCCTGCCCGGAACGCCTACAGCGTCCGCGTCTCTCGACATCCGCGATGTACACACACAAAACACCACACAAACTGCACGATCGATCCCACACCCGACGTTTTCGAAAGCGTATGCCACCTCTAAATCTATCCCTCTACGACTTCCACCGCAGCGAAGCAGACCTCCCCCGTCACACTTGCGTCCAAGGCTTCGGGTGTGAGTGGTGGAAGGATTTCATCCCCATCCCCCGCACGGTCACGGTCATGCGTTTCCGCGGCCACGGGTGCCATAACGCATGCATCTCGGCCCCACCATCCTACCGTACGCCGGGACCCTCCGAGCCTGCACGTCACAAGGCTTCACGCAAAACATGCGTGGGATGTCGCCCCCACCCATCACTGCTCGAACTCTGAGCGACCACGAAGTGGATGCCTTCTCCGCACCATCTCCCACCTCCGAACGCCGGCACGGCTCGGAGCGACGGCGTGGCCAGCACTGCACAGGATGCCATGCTTCGCGATCTTCTCGAGCTCGGAGCATTTCCCACACCACATGCGACCAGGTCGCCCGTCTGGAGGACATGCTCTCGAACCGTGCCTCCGTAAGAGCGGGTTGCTGGACATCCAGCACCTCGCGTCGGAGTGCATGTGCAGTGTGTCCATGACGTCGGATGGGAGCCCCGTTCGAGCGCCCCAGGCTTGCGACTGCTTAAGGCGCGTTACACCAACGATAGCCGACACGCACCTTTCTATCGTTGCGCACGGCCCTGCTAGCACAACGCCAGACCAGGAAAGCGACGGTCTTCGGAAGGCGACCGAGCCCGCGCATGTCCGGTAATCGACTTCGAAGCGTGTCAAGCGAGGGTTCAAGACGGACCTTGTGAGTCACAGTTACCGTCACGGAAGAGCAAGGCCGAGCACTCGGCTCCGCGACCCACGGAAACCTGACGACCAGGAAAACCCCGCCTGCTCACAAGATAGACACGCACTGCCGTCGGCCATAGTTCGGCATCCAGGACATGGGGGCGCGCCTTCTTGCAAGGATCCGGTCAAACCGGCTCTCAGTCCCGTCGTTGTTGTGCGGAGGCGTTCCTCTCAAACTCAGGAGGACAATATCTCAGATAATGTTTGCACGACTGCACTTGCGATCGCCGTCGCGGATAAACTGCGCGGATGTGCGAACGTATTCACCAACACGAAGACCTGTGTGCTTGGCCGACGACCGTCCCAGGACCAGCACAGGATAAGTTCCAGCGACACGCATGGACACTTCTGCGCTCCCGAGCTGAAGCGCCTCCCCTCACCCAAACCCCCTCACCGGCACTGCACAGCTATCGCATGTCGTTTCACACAGCCTGCGCTGACGACATGAAGGGACCGACAAATTTCGTCAACTGATGAGAGTGCGACATACTACCGCCTCCCGGGGTACGGAACCAAAAAAAACAAGCTCGCGCATCTCGCAAAGAACCATCCAACCGGCTCTCAACCCCGAGCCTTATGACGCACTCACACATCCCGAGGGTCTCACACGAACTTCGGGCGACGTCGGTAGCAAAAACAAAGAGCACCAGCATGGTGCACGGCCCGGTGGGAGCGCTACGAGGCATTCGTCGCCCGAACTACGATTCGCACCATATTCGTCGTCCTCGATGTCATGTCGTAACCGGTAACTATTGGTTAAGACGGAAATCTCGGGACATCCGCAGCGGTGTCTGATCGGCACACATCCCATCAAGAAACCTCAAGCTTCGAAATTTGAGCGCCAAGGAATGCAAGAATCTGCCGAATTGCAGCTTTTCTCGCTTTCACGGGCCATGAAACACCGCCGCGATAATGCTGTCTCGTCACACGCTAGACCCGTCACAACCGACGCAGAATAACGGCTCCGCTCTTTCAGCGGCATCTTCTGGTAAACGTCATACCAGAAGCTCTCGACACTGCACACCATGCACCTCTCCCAACAGCCGCGCCACGATTTATGCGAGCTACGACCACACCGAGCGTCCATGCAGTGAACTCGGGCTTCGAAACGGCAACGAACTTGCAGCTTCTTGATGCCACTCTCGAGACCAGAAAATTGACCGACCCCTCGCTCTCGTCACAAATGAATGCACCCTACCCTAGAGCATCCGATACACGTAACCAAGCGACATCCCGGGCATCCGCGTTTGGAACTATCACCCGCGCTCCCTTCCACTCAGCGCGAACAGCCCGATAGAACATGACTCTCCCACATGTGCATCCCCAGCGACCGACGTGTTCCCCGACATAATCAACGGATTTCACAACCAAGATTCCCACACTCCCTCGCACCAACAACAGAGTTCAGGGTGGGTCTCGCTCCACAGACCTTGCGCTTCCAGCCTTGCAGAGGCCCGGTGAGCTCCTCGAAAGCACTCTCCGGCGTTCCAACGACCTCGGCCGCAGCGCAGTCGGCCTCCGGGCTGCCCATTCCGCCTCACCTCGCCAACCACGCGATCAACGACACACACACAGACACACACACACACACACACACACCCGGCGCACCAAACCTCCAGCCGCGTCCACCAGGACCTGCACAAATTACCTCCGCGTCGAAATTCCTCACGCTCTCCACATTTGCCTGAGCGCCAATCCCCGACGTGAAACAACGCACAGCTGGGGTCCAACCACAGCACACGAGCACCCGCCCCGGGTCTAACTACCACAACCACTGCCCTTCACGAGAAGAAAACAGATATAAAAAAAAAAAAGGTCCGCTGGAGCAAAGCCAATGGCTGGGGCAGCAAACGAGAATCAAAGATCACCCACGAGAATTGAGACCTTGTATGATTGCATCAGGCAGCGAAGAGTATAGAAGGATGTCACAGAGAGAGAGAGAGAGAGAGTGAGAGAGTTGCAGGTGCTGGTGGTGCGATGGTGGGAGGAGGGCGGGAGGGTAGTGGGAAGGGGAGAGTGTAAGACGGGAGCGGGGGTTCTGGTCTGAAGTGGTCGGTGTTGGTGTTAGTGGCGGTGTAGGTGCTGTGCTTTAGTTCGGAGGGAGGGAGGGGAGAGTCGGGAAAGGCGTTCTCACGGGAGACATGGGCCCATGACCGACTCGAGGTCCAGGTAGGTCCCTCCCTCCGCTTGCCTTCTCCATCCCTCCCTCTCTCCTCCGGCAGCGTGCTTCGTTCCACCCTGGCTGGCTACCTTAGTCTTCTTCTTTTTCTTCCGTTTCTGTTTCTTTCTCGATGCTTTGTGGTCTTTAGCACACCGAACGGAATTAGGCGAAGAAGGTTGTAAAGTTGACCATCCATCATCTCGCACCTGTGCACTTTTTCTCCTTCCCTCTTTCCTGCTTGAACCTGGCTCTGCTTCTTTCAAGCTCTCTCTTTTGTACTACTTCTAAATATATATATATATATATATATATGTTATCCTTCAAGAAGATGTGTTCTCTTTTTCTGTCATTTCTTTCCTTCCTTTATTTATATTTTGCTAGGGGAGGGGGGGGGGGAGTAATGATATGAAAGTATGTAGTAGATTTCTTTTCTTGAAGAATATCGGCAGAGATGCGTGTTTAACAACGTGTGTTGTTCACTTTAATCTCATAATTTATTTTGTGTGTTTTTATTTTTGAAAAAATGTATAGTCTGATTCTATGTTTAATGTATTTGTCCATTTGTAGTAATTGCATTGCACAGAAATGGAAAGATCTTGAATTTTAAAACTGTTGTTTTATTTTTTATTTTCACTATATATAAATATATATATATATATATATATATAATCCTTGAATTCAGTAGGATTAATAAAGTGCAAATACACATATGAATAATTTGAGTAAAAACATATAAAAATATGAAAATAGTACTCATATATTTTAATGTTTATTTTTTGGTATGTTTTTAAACACATTTTTTAAGGATTTTATTTATCTTTTGTATATTTTGAATATTTAAAAAACTATTCAGAATATAGTAATGTATTCTTCAATGAATGTAATGTTAATTATTACATAAAATTATGGATGATTTGCAATATTTATATGTGTACACTCATTAGATGTAAAAATATATAAAAGCCTTATACAATCTATGCAAAAAAAATAAAAAATAATATATGTAAATAATAGATAATTTTTTTGTTATTTATATAAATATTTATTTATTTTAAAGCTTATAAAATTGCAAATTTAAATTAAATTTAGTGTTACTCTAATTGGATGCTGATACAAATAATGTATTATTAAAGTTAAAATTTGGATGCAAAGTTTTGATATAAAAACTATAACTTAAACTTAGAGTGGTAATGTAAAGGTGAATATATTTTATAATTATATTTAGAAGATAAGAAAGTTGTTTGAAAAATAGTGATTATTTGAGTTTATTTTATGTAAAATATTTGTGCTCCTATATTTACCTTAGATCTCTTAGATAAATTTTATATAAATTATTTAAAGTCAAGTTTTCCAACAATTTAAAGTGAACAACTATAAAAAATTTAATGAATTAAAGATTAATATTTTTTGGTTGAGATGAAATTTGATATTTTTTATTATAAAATAAATCTAAGTTATTTATTTGTTATTATTATTATTTTGGTTGCTTATGTAATTTTAATATTTTAAAAAAATCATATTTATTCTAAATAAAATTTTAATAATTTAAGTATACATGTAATCATTAGCACTATTTTAATTTTTTTGTAAATTATGTATTATTTCTTCTAATTTAAGACTCTTTATTTATAATACACCTCTTCATCATATACCTACATTTACTTGAAGCTATGATATAAGCTATCAATATTTTTTAAAAAGTAATGTTTTAAAACAAAGTTTTATTAAAATAGTTGATTTTGAATTTTCTTATGAAAGTTACTTCAGAATTATAAATGATATTATAAAATTATATAATAATAATTTAAATTAGATTTTAGTGTACTTATATTGATTTTTTTAAATCAAATTATTTGAAATCATATAAAAATCAATAATCTGTTTTTATAACTACCAATGCATTAATCAAGTACTCTTTTTTATTTTTTTATAGCTATTACTATATTCCATAATTCTCTTTTGTGTTGTGCATATGCCTTCTATCTAACATTCAAAACCTTTATTCTAAACCTTATTATATATCTATTCCCTTATTCATCATCTTGTCCAATGCCTAATTTATTCTAATTAGACATATAAAGAAAAAATTAAAAATTATACAATAGATCTATTATATGTGCAAAATGAGATATCTATATATGATAGAAAATACATGCTCCTAAAAACCTTATAACTTCTGTTGTATTTGCACATTCATTCATTTTTTTAATAATATCAATATTTTCTATACTTGGCTTATGTCAATATAATCCACACATGTGTCCTACTACCAAAACTTTTTTAATTCCAAATATTGATTTTGCTTCCAATAAGGTTAAATAAAATTCTTCTAACCTTCTCAAAATCTTTTTACTATCATCAATATGATCTATTACAAACTTCCTACATTCCTTTGAATCAAATGTCTTATTTTTTCTTCCTTCTTCACATCTCTTAATTGGCACATCATCTAAGAAAGGCATTGTTATTCTTGAAATAAAATCCCTTAATATCTAATATATTCCATTCATCATGTGTGCCACAAAATTTGTAGCCCCTTGTGATAATGTACACATTCTCACCAACTCTAATGGTGTCTTTATAGTTGTCAAATTTCTACTTTACATTACCAATTAATATTGATCATATCTTGAATAAAGATCCTCCATAGAATAAATTATTCTCCTTATAAATGCCTCTACAAATTCATCTACAATTAGACTTGAATCCATGTTTCTAAGAATTATTTTATTTACTAGTAGGATTCTTATATTGTTGTGATTTCTCTTCCCTTCTAATTCTTTTAGATGGCCCTTCATTATTTTTTATCTCTCTTTAATTTTTTTTTAATTAATGCTCAATATTAACTCTTTGCAATATAAGCATGAATTGATAATCCATCTATTGGATTATTTCACCTAATAATTTATCAAATGTTATTACCAATTTATTTTTAATCATCTCTAGTAATTTATTTAATTTAATTTTTTTACTATAATTCATTGCATTTCACGAAAAAAAACTAGAAAAATCAAGATTTATGATTAAATATTTGTTAAAATTTTCTCTACCTAATATATTGATATTTTATTGCTTGAGATTTAAATACTTCTTTTGTAAGCACTTTTATCCCTCTTTTACTAAAATTTGTTTCTAATTTTTTTTTCACTCTCTTTTAATTGTATCATATCATCTTTGAAAAAATAACTCTTTTGTATAATGTCTTTGTAAAATCTTAACATTCATTTCTTAAATGATCTACACTATTACAACACATGTATCTATGCACTATACCTTCCATTTGTCTTGATTTTTGTCTTATTGATGCTTTTGATGTTTGACTCTTCTTCTCAAGTTTTATAAATTTTATTTTCAATTCTCTCATTTTCTATATAATTTTATCAATGTCCATTTTTTTTTTCTTTAATGAAATTATTGAAGATTGAATCATAGATTAAAAACAATTAGTAGTTATTTTTATCTTAGATATTTGTAATGGTCTTTGAATATCCACCCTACCTTTTTTCTTTTTTCTTTTTAGAAGCAATCCAATTGCTTCTTCTACTTCCCTCTAATTTGTTGTCTATCCTTCTTCTTCATCATCTTCAAGATTTTTTTTAACTTCTCTTGCAACTTTGTATCAGCTACTTGAAGAAATAGTTCTATTTTGCTTGAATTTAGTGATTGTCTTTTGTTCTTTGATAAATAAAAATATTATATTTTGAATTCTTTTAATAATTTTGTTTCTTGAAGATCCTTCTTAGGTCTTTTAATCCATTCAAAAAAAACTTCTTTGTAATCTAATGACTATCTTTTAAGAAAAATTTATCCATTAATGATTGAGAAAATTTCTCCCATGAACCTCTAAAATGTCCTATGATGGACTTTATATGGTTTCTTATTTCTGAAACAAAAGCTAATTCAAATAAAATGAACCATCTCTTTCTTGAAAACATGCTTCAATTCTATATTCTTTAACATAACACCTTAAGTACCTTGTAATATCTTTTTCTTTGAATCAAAAACTGCTTATGAAGCCTTGTTTGCTATATCTTCTTTGAAATCTTTAACTTATTGTTGTTGCATGAATAGAAAAAAAGCCTCAAACATGCTTGTAGAGTTGGGATCAAAATACATATATTATCCTCTATTTATAGCTCCACTTCTAATTCCACTTGAATCACCAATTAAAGTACTATCTAAAGCTTTTTTTTATTTTATTTTCTTATATTTCTTTTTTATAATTCAAATAACTCAAAAAAACTCCAAACATCTTCTACCTCAAGCTTTTTACATCAAGTTTATCAAATTATGTTGTATTTTATAAAGTTTTCTTGAAAATACATTGGGTACCTAGTTGTAAAAGAAAAAAATAGAACTTACAACAAGATGATCCTAACAATTCTAATATAATCCTAAATAAATTCTAATTAATTTATACCAATGCTAATCAATCTTTGATTAAAGTCCAAAAGAAGTCTCAAAAACTTACAAAAGATATATAAAGAAATTACAAATTAATATTAAAGAAATATATATAATAAAAAAATTCTAAAAAAATATCAAAAATATAAACTTTAATTAAATTCTAACCAAATTCTTTATGTAACTTTCAACAAACTATAAAAAAAATTACAAACCAATTCTAATCAAATCCTAATTTAAATTCTAATGAAAATCTAAAAAAATCCAAATCAAATCTTAGATTAAATTCTAATCAAATCCTAATCAAATTTTAGACCAATTTTTAATTAAATCTTAATCAAATCCTAAAAAAATCTTAATCACATCCTAATAAAATTCTAACTTCTAATCTTGGACCAAATCCTAATATAATCTTAAATCCTAAACCAAATCTAATCAAATCCTAAATCCTAAATTAAATCCTAATTAAATCCTAAATTTTAAATAAATTCTTAAAAAATCCTATTATAAATTAAAACCTC